GCCACCACAAGCACACCAAAAAAACCTCAAAACAAACGAAAAGTAGCAGAAGACCCTGATAATCCTGCTCAAGTCACCTGCGACAGGAGAGAGCCTAGAGAATGGTTTAGCCCTTGTTTTGGCCCAAGGACAGGGCGGGCTCTGGTGCCGGCGGGCGGGAGGCCGGGGGAGGTCGGGGCTCGCTCTCCCGACCAGACGGATTCAGCCCCGGCCCGGCTGCCCCCGCCAAGCGCCCCCGGCTCCCACCGCGCTCCGCCCGCAGCCCTGTGACTAAAGCAAGGCCCCGAGCTCGGCGGTGACAGAGGCCACCACGGCGAGCCGCCTCTCGCCCGGGCATCCGCGGGTCAGGCCCGGGCCGGGCCCCTCCACCCGCCCGGCAGCGCCCGCTCACCTTGCCCTGGCGGCGGCGGGACCGGCTCCGGCCCCGCGTCCCTGCCGGGGCCGGCTTTTACTCTCCGCCCGCCGCCCCCGCGGAGGCCGGGTGCCCGCGGGGCGGCCGGGCCGGGGCGGCTCCCGGCGGGGGGCGGGGGCGAGCGGGCGCCCTGCGGAGCGGGGGCGGCGGCGGCGGGGGCGCGCAGGGCAGCGGGAACTCCGCGCCGCCGGGGGCGCGGCAGCCGCCCGGACCCGCGTCCGGCACGCACCGCCCGCCGCTTCCGCCGCGGCGGCACCGGGCGGGCGCCGCTAGGGGGCGCGCGGGCCCCGCGAGCGGGAGGGGCGGGGCGGCGCGGGCGGAGGGCGCCGCCTGGCGGCGCGGGCGGAAGCCCGGAACCACGGAATTCTTGGGGGGATTGGGCTGGGAGAGGCCGCCGAGGTCATCGGGACCAACCCATGGCCGTACTCCGCCTTGACAGCTGGCCCGCAGCACTGAGCGCCATGTCCAGCCTTTCCTTAAACACCGCCAGGGACTCCACCGCCCCCTGGGCAGCCCATTCCAATGCCCAATCTGTGAAGAATTCCCTCCTCATGTCCCACCTAAACCTCCTCTGGTGCAGCTTGGGCCTGTGTCCTCTCATGCTAGTCGCTGGTTATCTGGGGAAAGAGGCCGCACCCCAGCCGGCCGCAACCTCCTTTCAGGGAGTTGTGGAGAGTGATAAGGTCACTTCTGAGTCTCCATTTCTCCAGATTAAACAGCCCCCAGCAGCAGGCACCCACTGCTCACCCTCCTGCCTTGAGCACCGCATGCCTCCCATCCGCCCCTTCCCCAGTACCTGCTGGATGGGTGCAAATTCCTCCTCTTCCAACCCCACTGGTGTTCCCACAGCAGCAGCAGCAGCAGCGGCATCCATGCCTGGCACTCACTGTAGCCATTGCAGTACCTCAGCGTTCCAGGCACGTTCTGGTTCAGACACGGCATTCACGGGGCTGTTAAGGCATTCCTGGCTGCCCAACAGCTATGGATGTAATCCCTGGATTTAGGGTAAAAATTAAAAAAAATAATGGATTTACAGATAAAAATCAGTCAAAGAAATAAGTAGTGTTCCAGCTGCACTGGGTGCAGCTCCAAACACACGGGAATTGATGCATCAGGTACCCTACCTGCTAGGGTGGCATGGAACACTGCCATGGCTGCGCCCTCAGCCTTCGGTGGGATGTACTTGGCCAGCTCTCCAGATCCCCTCCTGCTGTGCTTTTCTGACCAGCTCTCTTCTACAGGTCTGCTGGACACCTGCAGCTGCTCAGTTGAGCAGTTGCACTCAGTTTACCGTGTAACTGTGTGCATTGTCATCCAATGAATATTTGTGCAGTTGTACACACTCTTTACTGTGTAACTGCTTCCAATGCCATCCCATTAATGAATCGGTCACAGCCCCAAGCCCACCAGAGCTCGAGAGGAATTCTGACAGGCACATGGGGTGAGGTGACTCTTGGGGCTGTCCTATGCAGGGCCAGGACCTGGAGCTCGAGACTCCTTCTGGCTCCCTTCCAATTCCAGGTATTCTATGATTTTATTAATTTACTCTGTTTTCAATATCATATTCGTCCCCAATGCAAAATCTTAAACATAAAAAACTACAAAACCAGAATTTCTCTGCATTATTTACTGCGCAAAGTATACCTAATAAAATGTTTACCTAATAAAATGCTGTTTTCGTTTTGAGGCAGGCACAGTTCATATTCTGGTTTTCATTTCTTTTTTTGTTGTATGATGGAGAGCTAAAAAATAAGTGTACCAAGGGAGTGATTTGATCTGCAAGTACATTTCTATTTGTATGACAAGAACTCTAATTTCTATAACACCAGTTTTCAGTTCTAGTTTCTATAATACTGCTCTAAAAAGAGTAAAAATTTAGAGTGAGCCACTAAAATAATATAACTGCTTATTATTAGAGCAGTACTACATGGTTTCTGGAAAAATTGCTTACAATTTTTTATTAGAAAAATATATAATTCAAAATCCCTCCTGTTTCTCAGTAATAATTTTGTCTACCATCATCTTGAGACCCCAGAAAATACCCTTAGATGACTATGACAGAAGACAACAAATAGAAATTATTTTTTAGACAGAGAAGCTGCAAATAACACAGTGGTGCTGCTAAAAGATGTAATAGCCTGGGATAAACTTAAACCTTGTTAGAAGATATTAACAGCTGCTGAAATAGAGGCGATAGAGACAGAAATATCTGCTTTTAAAAATAATCAGCACTCTGATTACATATCTCCTACCCAAGGTTAGTGCTTCATTGTGAGTTGGAGCACAGCTCCTAGTATCATGTATCAGAGAGCATGGCATTTGAAAGGTTGTGCAAATTCTGATTACTGAAGTGGTTAATTGGTCACAGAATCAGGATTGTTACGTTGGAAAGGAAGTTCAAGACCATTGAGTCCAATCAAGAACGTAACTCTGTCAAGCCCACCATTAAACCATATCCACAAATGCCACATCTAGATGTTTTCTAAATACCTCCTGGGATGTTGACTTCACCACTGCCCTGGGCAGCCTGTTGCAATGCTTGACAGCCCTCTCAGTGAAAACTTTTTACTGATATCCAATCTAAACCTCTCCCAGCACAACTTCCTTTTCCTCTAGTTCTGTCCCTTATTCCCTGGGATTAGAGACTGACTCCCACTTGGCCACAACCATGCTTTCAGGTAGTTGTAGGTGTTGGTCCCCACACAGGCTCCTTTTCTCCACGCTAAACAACCCCACCTCCTTCAGATTTTCCTCATAAGACTTGTGCTCCAGAGCCTTTCCTAGCTTCATTGCCCTTCTTTGGACACATTCTATGATGGTATTAATGTACTTGAAAAACAGGATAGTCAGACAATGATTCTGTCTAGTCCTTCTACAGTTTCTGCAATACAAAGAAAGCCTTTAGATTCTGGTTACTTATAATTCCTCTTGCTTCTTCATCTGTATCCATTTTAGTATTGTACAACCTTTTCCTTTAGTTCCTTTTCTCCCTTGAAAGCTCAGGCTTTGAATTTTAGCTTGTATTGCTGCAGTGCAGCACGTAAGACTTCATGGTTTGAATTCCTGCCTATGTCCAGGCATATCAGTCTGCATCTTGATCTGCTTTAGTTCATCATCTCCCATGCATGCTGAGTCTCTGCTAAAAGAAAAATCTTTCTGCCTGTACACAGCAGTTACAGTTAAGGTGTTCAAGTAAAGACTCCTGTATCTTAAGACAGATTTGAAGGTTGACAGGATTTGACAGGATTCCTGTCTTTTTGGTCCAGAGAAATAACTCACCTGTCCATCCTTCTCCCTTCACCAGATGTGCAAGAAATACTTGTGAAGAGGCAGGGTCAGGGAAGAATTTATTTTAATCCAAAGAACAGATTTCATTTTCTACTGAAAAATGGGCAAACATTACATATATTTCCTTAGATGCTATGTAACCTTTTAGGATGTTGGGAGGAAAGATTATTTACATATTAAAAGTACATGAAGGAAAATGAGGCACAAAAATTACCTATCTTGGTCTTTGAAGTTAAGAGTTGGTTGCATTTAGTGGCATATTGGATAGATTACACAAAGTTGTCCCACTACTACCGGTAACAACCTCCCACAGCCTGTAAAAACACATTCTGCTTTGCACTAACTCTCAGTTTTCTGCAAGTTGCATTAGGAAGACAAGACTGCCTTTCCAAACAGGCATTTTGGTTCAATGTGTACCAGCAGTGTTGCACTACTGCATTATCAGGCAAACCACCAGTGATGATAAACCTCAAAGATGCACTGCCAGAGAAACTCCCCCTGAGCCTGGTCACTGGGAGATTTGAGTAAATACAGCACAACCGTACTGCACACACCATCCAGGGGTAGGCAACTATTGTGTGGTGCAATAGAGCATGCACGAACCAGCTCAGACTTGAAACTACCTTCTACATGTATTTGCAATATTTGCTACGCTGAACTAAAGCTTTTTATTCCCTCTCTTTCAAAAACCTTTTTCTGTGGGGAAGAAGTCTTGGATGCACACAGTCCTGCTTTCCAGGGGACTACTACTAAGATGATGTGTTTGAAGGAGTCTAACGTCTGCTTTAATGGGATTGTCTCTTTTTGTAGTCTCTAGGAGGATGGTGTAAGCAGTAGCTGATTATCTAAAGCAAGACAGTTTGTTCTGACATGTCTTGCTTGGGGTCTACCAGGGAAGGTGCTCCCTGTGGGGTGGTCTCTGGTGGGACAATACCAAGCTTGAGGCTCTGCTCTGAGACCAGACTGTGCTCAAAACTCAAACACACAGATCTAGACAACACCACTAAAGCCCTCAGATACAAACTTGTTTAGGAACCAGGAAAACCTTGGCTCCATGATTTCCTTTGGGGGAATTTAGCTGTTGCCTTGCTATAATAAAATAAGTCATCTTCATCAGTCTTTCTTAGTTCAGGGAATTCTCAAAGACATGGGGGAACTTCCTAAAAGTTAATTGTTTTCTTCCACCAAATCTGTAGAAATTTGTAATTTAAACTGGTTAACACCAACTATTAGTTACCAGTGCTGTAGGACATGGTTTTTTACTGTATGCTGTAAAACCAATGCAATTAACATGAGCATTCTAATCACTTTTACGACGTTTATCAAATCTCTCCAGTAAAGCCTTCCATATGCTGCCTGGGATTGTTTGGTGCTTGCTTATGAGAGCCTGGACAGCAGCCTTGGTCTGAAAAGAGAAGAGAAATTTGCCTTTAAAGACCTATTTTATACACAGAAGAAAAGTCTAATCTCTAAGTTCTCAGAGGTTCAAGAGGGAAAATTCACACATAGCTCTACTGTAAGAAGATAATTGTGTTTTATATTAACTAGCTGTCCTAATGACACATTTCTTGGAAAAGAAAGGAACAAAAACAATGAATGCATTTTGGGTAGGCTGAAATTACTGAGATATATCAAATGTGCTCATTATTTAGTCAAAGTAGCCTTTAACACATTCAAACATTAAGTTTCTGCAATCCACTACCCCTGAAAATTTTCATCAAAAAAGTGATGGATAAAGCCTGGCTCACCCCATCTGATCTTATAGCTGACCTATCTTGGACAAGGAATTTGGAGTAGGAACCTCTGTCTGTCCTTCCCACCATGAATTCTCCCATAATTTTATCATATACAGCATGTACATAATAAGAAAAGTCATAATACTCATTACATGAGATTCAAATGAAAGTTTAGGAAGAGAATGAACACAATATTCTGTGTCTCTAAAAGAAATAAGAAATTATCTTCTTTTGTTTTCCCTTGTGTGTTTAAACTTGAAGTAAGGGTAGCTACATACTCCATTGATCTACTCCAGAGTTATAGTAGAATATCACTGTGAATATAAAAAAGGAGTAGCAAAACCTTTCCTGACAGATTCATGTCCTAACTCCTTTGCAGGGCAGGATCAGAGAGAGGTCAGCCAGGCCACTGCTCACGTCAAGCCTCATTTAAATTACCTTTTTTTTAAGTAATATCAGCCACAGAAGACCTAACTGTACTCCCACCAAAGTGGGTGGTGGTCAAAGGGGGCAGCCAAAGGCTTGCCTTAGTAAGGCAAATCAGTATCATGGGAAATTTCAATTTCACTTTTGCAGGTACACAAAATACTGTTCCCCTAAAATACAAGAATATCAACAACCATAAGAGCAGTCATATTGCTTCCAGCCTCCTAAAGGTGCTAAGAGCAAACTCTACAGCTTGCTGGGCCTGTTCCCTTCTGACAGACCAAACCTGTCTTTCTGGTTTCACTTTTGTGAAGCTCAGCACAACCTACAGTAGACCCTTAAAAAGGAAAAAAGAAAACAAAAGAAGAAAAACTAGCCTTGTTGCATCTTTTTATGTGCAGCAAGGTGTTTTATACTAAGTGATTTCTGAGAGATGATTTTTTTTGTGTATTTCTAGGTTGTAGCAGATTTTTTTTTCTCATAAAATCCTCCTTTTATCTTCCATGAAAAATTTTAAAGCCTCATTTTCAGTTTAGCTTTATATTTTGAAAAATACTTAAACTCTAGATCTATAAACACTTTTATGCTCTAATCACTAGGCATCACTAATTTCACCAAACTATGGGTACTCAAAATATTTTTATATTTTGGACGCAACTTTTTAACATTTTCATTTTGACAATGAGACTGAAGCTCTTGAAGAACTTTGCTTCTAGACCCCAATGCTATTTGGTGAAGATTCTCAAAGTTATTGGTTATTTATTAAATTTATTTTCATAGTTACTGAAAACTGCATTTAAAACATAATTTACATTATTTCAGTTATCATCACTGTTATCATTATCAGTTATCATTATTATCATTATCAGTTATCATTATTATCAAAGTTATCAAAGGCATGGGAGAAACAAAGTTAACACAACAAGAAGACAGAGCTCATACATTTGGAAAGGATCAGGACATCCCAATGAACTGTTACTATATCAATATTTATTGGTAGGTATTTGTATATTAAATGATCCCAAACCTCAACTGCCCATGGGTGAACAAGCCAGTAAAAGTGTATTTGTCTTTATTCAAGCATGCAAAAAACTGGTTTCAAGTGCACTTATAGTAGAGGGCAAAGTATGTAGTTCAATATTGCAAGGAGAGAGAACTTACCTTTTCAACTAATTCTTCTGCAGTTATATTTGGGTCGTAAGGGATTGGCTGCCCAATGTATGTGCGAAATTTAACTGGAAGTCCTCCGTATGGAGGAGTAAAAGGCAATCGAGTGCTCTCATATAACTGTCTAAAAAATCCTGAAATGGTTTATGGGAGGAAAAAGCGAGATTATAGTCACAGTAAACACAATTCAAACATGAAATCTGATTAATGTAGAATACTTCTTAAAAATCCATGCTTTATTTGATAGTCAGGACGTTGTTACAGGTTGAAGAAAGTTGAAGCAATTGTCCACCAAAACAAAGCTTGATAGACTTAATAGACCAGAGAAAAAGTCAAATAGACCAGAGAAATAAGACAAATCACACACACAAGCCAGTTATGAACAAGCTATTTCCAAATTTGAGCTACCTCTGACCCACAGCAAGTGTTAGAGAATCCAAAGTAAGCAGAAGTCTGAAAAGCAAAATCTAAGATAAAAGCAAGAAAAATCTGAGAGAAAAAAGATAAAACATTCAAAATACATAAAATATATTTTTAAGTTCTTACTTCTTTCTTTAAACATCCTATAGCCTTCACGGACATTTTGAGTATACATTGGAATGATGGGCTAAGGAAGTAGAAAAAAAAATAAAAAGGTTGAAATGTTATACCAGGTATGAATTTCTGCTTTAGTGCTTGCTAATGCAGCTAAGAAACTCACTCAAATACAGAGGGTAATTACCAGTTAGTTAAGTAGTAAACAAGGAATCTTGATTTTAAAAACTCCAGAATAGAAATAAAATGCTATTTTTCAGCTGCCATAAACATCTGTTTTAAAGTCACTATCTGTAAATAAAATTACTGACACTGTACTAGGTTTTGTATAACTTCTATATTATGTATTTACTGCAATATCACTGACTGGAACATAAAACCAATTTCCATGGTTTGTCTAAAGCTTTCATTGTGAGTGGTGAATAGGAAAGTATTCAGTTTGTGAAGTCTTGCAGAAAGCAAGCAGACATTCACGGCTGGCTCGTCTCATCTGCTTCTCAAATAGGGTCTAACTGAAGCAGTAATGTTTGGACAAAACTTCACTGGAAAAGACTTCTGCAGATCCCTGAGACAAAAAAAAAGCAATTGTGTGTCCTCACTGACCTGGACTACACACCTTCTGAGGGTTACAGAACAAGGTCACTTCATCTTTGTGACTGAAAAGAGACATGCTTGAGATACCTGCACTTGAAACAGTCATGCCTTACAGCCTGAGGTAAGATTTCGTAGTTTGTAGACAGACTGACAGTAGTTGTATCCATGTATACAAATATTTTTTTTTTCTCCTCTATTGTCCCTTTTCCTTTTCCTGAAACTCTAATTTGAACAGGTTGTAGGAACAACTTGTCCAGAAGGTAATGAAAGAAGACTTTCCTACTGTTAAGAATCACTACTACAGAACAGAAGCTGCAGGATGAGGAAAAAAAAAGCAGGAAAAATACCTAACTAGAGCCTACCAAATAACTCATAGTGATAGAAAGCATTAAAAGGAAAAAATACCTGAGGGAGAACAAAAGTATTAAACATGCATAAAGCTGTAATAGTAAGCCTTTCAGAATGCAAAATTAAGGGAAACTGTTAGAAATAAACCCTTAAAAAGTAATCAATAATGCTGTTTAAAAATATATAAGTACTGGACTCTAAAAATACTAAACTTTTTTCAGCTATTAATTGAATACTGTACAGCTAAGATGTAAAATGTTTGAAACCTATCTGTCACACAGACAAAACACTAAATTTTAGGAATATTACAAGAAACATATGGTAGGCAATAAAGAAATCTGGTAACTACAGAAGTTACTCTCATATAATGATCAGCAACTGAGGTCCAGGGTAGGCAGCAACTTTCAGTACCTAATCTGGAAAACACAGGTATGCACATAAAATCTTACATTTCTAAAGCAGCACAACCAGATCTGGAGTAACCAACACATTTATACTTGCTGTGCTGGAACTGAGCTGGGTCAGCCCCAGCCAGCTTGAAAATCACAGAATTACAGGATAGTTGAGGTTGGAAGAGACCTTTGGAGATCAGGTAGTCCAAAACCCTTGCCCATACAAGAGAATTTTATAAATCATAGCTCCTGTTTATTTTTCACCTAACTTAGCTTGAAGGAATTTTTTGGCACAGGTAAAATTCAGGGATCTTCAGAAATGATGATTCCTCCCCATTAGCCTGCAAAAACCAAGCCACAGGCTGACAGTACTTCGGAAAATCATGGATGAATTTGACTGAGACAAATATATGTCCTAGAGGTACACTGAGTCATAACATTAAATAGTAACACTCTGACTCCTGTTAAGCAGAGTAGTTACACAAAATGAAGTGGAAACCAAATGCAGAAACTTTGCAGGTAAGGACTGAGGCTGAAAGTATCTTCCATGTTTGCTTTTCTTCAGCTTTTTCAGTGGAAGAATTATTGAACTTCTGTAATATTATATGATGGATGGGAATGTCTGTTCATATTTAAAGTTGGTTTTGTCTTGAATTCTCCATTCAAGTAATCTGTGACAGGTTATTAACCACAATGTAGTCATTTTGATAAAGTATGTGTAGTTCTTTGGTTGAGGGTTACACTGTATGTAGAGAAATTTTTAAAATACCCTTATAATTCTATCTTGCTTTTATTCATGATATCTGAGTAACTATTAGCAAACTTATATTAATTGCTACATAATAAAACAAGCTCTGATATCTGGATGAATCTATCCCCAGTGTATTTGTTTTTTGTGGCCAGATTTTGGTAGAGGGGGAGCTACAGGGGTGGTTTCTGCGAGAAGCTGCCAGAAGATTTCCCTGTATCTGGCAGAGCCAATGCCAGCTGGCTCCAGGATGGATGAGCTGCATGCCAAGGCCAAGCCCATCAGGAATGATCAAAACGCCTCTGTGATAACATATTTAAGAAGGAAAAAAATTATTGTGCATACATAATTGTGGACAGAGAAGAAGAGGGTGAGAAAATGTGAGAGAAGCAGCCCTGCAGGCACCAAGGTCAGTGTGGAAGGAGAGGAAGGAGATGCTCCAGAGCAGAGATTCCCCTGCAGCCCAGGGTGAGGCATCTGCAGCCCAGAGAAGACCCCAGCAATGCAGAGATCCACCCATGGAGGAGGCCCACACCAGAGCATGGATGCCTCAAAGAGGGCTGTGTAGCTGCAGGGAAGCAGTGCAGGAGCAGGCTCCAGGCAGGGGTCTGCAGACCCACGGAGAGAGAAGCCCATGCTGGAGCAGGTTTCCTGGAAGGACAAGCCCATGCTGGAGCAGGTTTCCGGAAGGACTTGTGACCCTAGGGGGGACCCTCGCTGGAGCAGGCTGTGCCTGGAGGACTGCACCCTGTGGAAGAGTGACTCATATATTCAAGGAGAACCTGTTGCCCAGGGCATGGACTCAATTTGAAGTTTGTCTCCTGTGGTATGGACCCCATGCTAGAAAAGGAGAAAGACTCTTCTCTGAGCAGTGGCAGAAACAACAAACTGGCCATGACACCCATTCCCCATCTGCCTGTGCCACTGCAGGGAAGGAGGTAGAGCCAAGGAAGAAGGGAGAGGTGGGGCAAGAGTTGTTTTTAAGACTTTTACTTTACTTCTCATTGTCTTGATCTGATTTTGTTGCTAATAAATGCACTTAACAGCCCTAAGTTGAGTCTAGTTTGCCCATAATAGTATTCAGTGAGTGAATTCTCCCAGTCTTTATATCAGACTTTGAATCTTTTGCTTTATTTTCTCTCTCATGTCCACTTGTGGAGGGCAGTGATTGGGAGGCTTTGATGAGTGCCTGGCATCCGCTACACCCCAGTCTTTGGTCAATCTGGGAGACTAGTCTAGCCAGTATTAAAAAGGGTGCAGCAAGAACAAATAATCAAACTTGAAATGTGTCAAAAGATGGGATCCAGTGACTACTGTGGACCTAATTTTATATAAGAAATTATATATTAGGTTAATATTGCCCCCTCTCCTGTTAAATGCACAGCAGTTCCTTTTTTTTTTTTTAGTGTTTAGTTATCTAAGGTTTGTCTGATTGCAGATTTCCGGATAAATACCAATGATGCCCAAAGTTCAGTGAAGCTTGCAAGCTAATTACAGCAATGTCCATCATGCAGGGATCTAATCAGACTTCCTGATCATAAAACCCCACAAAACTGAATGAGGGTAATAAAAAGAGATATAAGAATTTCCAGCACTGTAAAGGTAAGTCCAGGATAGTAGCTGTGAAAGGATAATATACTCTCTCTGCCCTCCTGGTAACAGTCCTGCATAGTGCCTGTTTTACCAAACATTATGCAAAGGACCACAAGACTCTTTCACACTGCAAGAATCTTACCCTCAAAGAATACCCAATTCAATAAATAAAATTTTTAAAACCCCCATCAAGAACCAAACCCAAAATCTGTCAAGAAAAGGAGGTAAAAATTGTATGTACTACTATTCAGTTATTTCCACATGCTTCTATATTATGGAAGACTAGTAGAATTAGGAGAATTACTGGCAAGGATTCTTGTGATGTGTTTTGATGAAGTTGGCAATCTATGTAAGGGCACTCAGAGTTTTGAATTCAATTTCTATTTAAAAATCCACAACTGTTACATTGTCTTACTGTAAGGTTCCATGTGAAAAGAGAACATCGGGCAAAAGTTTTTCCAGATGTTTGAAGTAGCTTGAAAGACAGAGATGAAAGCAAAATCAATAGAAATCTCTCAAGTTTTGAAAGTGACAGCTCTTTCTAACTGTTTCAGCATATAATTCATTTAATATATAGGAAGACAATTAGGGAACTCAAGACACCCATGTGAAACCCATGACTGAGTTTATCCCATTCACATTCTGATACTTTCCCAGCAGTGGTGGTGTACAGGCCCACACAGTATATGAATTATTACGACTAACATTTGCTCCTCTGAGAAAAAGGGCAGGAAACAGAACAGAAGCACCTAAAACCTGATTTTTAAAGGCCACATTAGACAAGATGTGGAAACAGGATTCCAGGCCTAAAATTACTTTATCCATTGGGTAAATGTCCCTAATTTTATTCTAGTGTTTAATTATCTCCCCACAATAATTTAGAGTTATGAAGAAATATTTTCCTGAAGCATGCATTTTGCACCTTAAGAGCCTTTGTACTAGGAGCCATAGCACAAGAGACCAAAAGAATTTTGAGAAGCAACAAATCAGATGAGGTGCAAAAGCGATATAAGTGCATAAAAAGGGATGTTAAGAAATTAAAGTTTCATGGGAAGAACTCAACTCCCTGTACAGCTTCTCCTATATAGACAGAAAACTTTATGTGGAAGATCAAAGGGCACTGCAAGTGATGAGATATTCATAAGAATGTGAGGAAAAGGTGATGGTTGTGCAGTTCATGAGAAAGCAGCAGAAAGTGCATGGCAGAAGAGATAAAGCCTGGATTCGCACCAGTATTGTCAGACACAAAAATCACTAGGTATGCTAAGTCTAAATTAAGGCAGAAAACTTGTGTCTCGAGGTGGTGATGATGATGAGGAGTGGCAGTTAGGAAAAAGATGGGGTTGCTGCTCTTTCAGCTGCATGCCACCCCAAATACAATAATTTTCCAGAGACTGCAAAAGAAAGACAGTCTCCCATGTAGATTTAGATACAAGAAGTCACAGCTAGTGGTAGAAGGTTGTATTTGTAGCTCATCATCCGTATGGAAACTAACTGAAACCTTGGCCATGAGTACATTGGTGGAGTGCAAATCAAGAGAAGAACATATCTAGAGGATGCTGAGAATCTGACACCCACACTGAACACATTTCAGTGCTCTGTTTTTATCCAGAACTAATTCTTGTTTGGCACCATTGACTGAAGACCAATGGAGAGTATTAGGTTCCAATTTTGGTTTAGTTTCAGCCAGAAAGAATGCAGCTCCAGTATTCTAACATGTTCTTTGATGTGAATGAAAGCACGGTGAGGGAAATGCACAAACTGCTTCAAAAGTGCACACAATTCAAACTCAGACACTAATGTAGACACACTTTGAGTTAGTTGATGCAATCTTTCACAAACATGAAGAAAAGTAAAGGTAAGGACAAAATCCTAGGCCCTCACAGAATAAATGAGAAGAAAGATAAAACAATACATTAAAGAACCATAAGGAAATGACTGGATATGTTGAAGTAAGGTAAAGATGTAAGTCTGTTAGGGTAAGAAAAAAAGAATGAAACCTTAGGGCAGAATGGAGAAGGACCATAGTGAAGATTCTTGAAATACAATCAAGATGAAACACTGGATGCCTGCATGATGGAACTGCAGACATGGAACCACAGATATGGATGCTTTGAAACAGTCAAGGAAAAGTTTGACAGTTCCACAAAACTCTTGCTCCTTGTGAATGAATATGCTTGAGAAAAGCAATGGGAAAAGGAAATGAAATCTTTATTTCCCAACCGTTTTTCCTGGAAGATTTTCCAACAAATGCTCCTAAGCTGTATTTTATAATGAAGCAGATATGCACACAAAAAGCATAAACTGGGGTTGGTAATGTATAGCACTCACCACTTTCGCTTCTAGAGCCACCTGAGCAAAGCCTTTTCGATTTCCCCACATCAGCTGATAACTTTCATCACTGAACAGCGCCTCTCGAACTCCACCCGGTGAGATGGACACCAAGTATCCTTTCTTCAGGGCAACAAGACACTCCTCCCTCGTACCTGGTATGACACCCGTCACAGCCAACAATAACCTAAGTCCTGAAATAAATAAGGAGCAAACGTACATTTAATATAACAATAAATACCCCAAATGCTGTTTGCATGGAGGAGCCAGATTACAACTAAATTAAAATCTAGTAGCTATATATTTATATTTATATATTTAGGCTAAGACAAATTTTTATGAAAGAAGTAAGACACCTACAGAATAAATGCTGGCAAAATGACAAATACCTGACAATATTTTTGCCCAAATATTATGAAGATGAGCCATATTGTCAGGAACGCTTCAATTAAAAAATATTTCCACATGCTGTATTTCATAATTATCAAACAAATTATGTAAACAAAACTTGTGGGTCATAGCTAGAAATCAGAAAATGAGCATCTATTGCTCTCTCCTTCTTTTTACATATTTTAATACAGAAAAAAGAATCAGTACAATAAAGATTGATACAAAAGTAAATACTTGACAAGCAGCTAGTTTTGGTCTTTTAAAATGTGATATTTAACATTTTAAACATTGAGGTTTTGAGCTGTATAATTGAGTATTTTATGGTTAAATTGCAAACTATGTGGATCAAATTCATGCATCTTAAGATGCATGAATGACAGAAACTAGCAGGGCAATTTCAGCACCACATGAATGAATCATGAATGAATTCACCACAGTGAATCTCCTTCCTCTGTTTCCATAACTGGGATTTCTGTAAAGGACAGACTGATAACCATAGAAGTACTGTATGATTTCTAATATTATCTTCATATTTTAAATATATCTGTTTGGAACTCTGATAGAAAGCAAACAAGCATTTCCGCAAACTTCAAATTCCCTGTTCAAAGAGCATAGTTTGAAAATAATTTTTTTATATTAATAAGTGGAAGCAACAGCTCTGATGGAACTGGACTGACAGAAGTCTGCAACAAAAGCTTTGGAAGGCAATAGAAAACGCAGTGCTGAATTCTGTAATTTAATTGTATTTAATCTTATTCAAGGTATCATGCTTAACAGATCTTTCGTCAAAGACAGATATTGACTTTGTTTAATCCTCTGGTGAACTCATATGTTTCATTCTAAAGTCAGGAAGATCATACTGTTACTAAGCAAAGAGGTTCTTCATTTGCTTGGCTTTAAAACTTATGAGAATTATAATGTATCACATGAAAATACTATCACTTCTTATTCCCCTTTTCTAGGTCTCACAGAATTTTGTTATCCCTCAGCCATGCAAGGCTTCTGTCTGATGTCCTAGCTTTTCAAAGGAAGCCATACCACACCTCTGAATCCTCCTTTTCCTTTTTTTTTTGTTGTTACTTTATTACTTAACAGCTATTCTGAGATGGAGAGACTTATTAATTCACAAGAAGAAATCTCCTGTTAGTGTAATTAATCCTGTAAATAAACTGAACTGTGGTCTAGCATATGCTCATGAGAAATCTTTAAAGAATCCATCTGTGAAGTGTAACATTTCTTTGCAAAAAGTAAGCGGAGTAGAGCAAAATAAGGTTGGGGAGGAATTTCACTTTTAGCCACATCTTCTGCTAATGCAGTGGGGAGGTCTAACTTCAATTATTTGTAGTCCTTCTTACCAGATGTCTCTTTATAGCCTTTTTGAAGGCTGACACAGCATTTGCCCCCTTTTGTTGCTCTAGCATGACCATAATGAAATCAATATTTTATGAACACGCCAGTAGTCCAGGAACTGCGCAGCTGAGAGTGTTGCTTAGTCGTAACAAATGTGTATTTTATATTTGTAATAAAAATATGTGCTAGGGACACTTCAATTTGAACAGTACCCTCTTATTTATTTCTTAAAAAAAGAAGTCTCCCTTGCAAGGTTTGGCTAAACTTTCTCCTTTTTTGAGGGTACTCTTAAAAGCCAATCAATCATCTTTTGATGACTTCTTACTTCCATTGTGCTCAGTACAACACAGTATTTACTAAATAGGACTTAAGAAAATTATTGTAATCTTCTCAAGTCCTACTTAAGAAAGGACACTTTCTAGGAGTGCCTGAATATGGTTTTGGCATCAAATTTACTTGAGTTTATACTACTTGTTTTCAGGAAAACTCTGTTTTCCAAAGAGTGTCCTTCTAAATAGCTTCCTCTATTCTCTATTTTAAAACAGCTTTCAATATTAGTGGCATAAAGGTGCCTTAAAATAATTCCCCTGCTATTCCTTCTGGACACTCTTTTTTACACCTTGTCTTTCTAAAATTGAATCATTTTTCCTTCTCTGTGTCTTCTCCTGACCAGTCAGCACTAAGTCAATAGTAGAGTCCTATCCAGCACTTTCTACTGAGGGATGACATTTAATCCCAAAAGGATTATAATCTCTATTTGCTTGCTTTGGAAGGTTTACCAATGTTTCACTGAAAAGACAGGATAATGCTACTCTGTTTGTCCTATTACATCTACCAACTTTTAGTTTAAAAATCTAAAAGCATTCTTTTAGTTTAAAAGCTCACTTTCAAATACAGTAAATGTAAAGTTCACCAAAACTAGGACAGGTTTTGAATCCAAGAAGCTTAAATACAAGAGAACAGGTTCCTACCTGGTAAACGAAACACAAAATGATCAGCTACTGACAGGCAAAGTCTTTTCTTCCACAGAAACAGCCTAGACAAAAAGTAAAGGTAGTCTATAGGAATAGCTCCATGGTAATAGACAAGAATTCCTGGTCCTTCTGGGAGGTTTTTCACACCATGAAGCTCATAACCTGTTTGGGATGGAAAGCAGTACACTGACAATGATATCTGTAAATCATCTGGCAGTTTACAGAAAACTTTTTACTTTGTTAAGTGACCTTCAGAGACTTGTGAAAGCCTCTGTAGTAGCTTTCAAAATAATTAAATTCTGGATGGATCTTTTGGTCAATACACAAAGAAAGTCCCTCAGACACCACAGCATATCACTAGACTGATTTGTTGGTCAATTTAATCATGAGAGAGACTTGAACCTGACATTTTTCCCAGTGAGGGAACTAAAGTAATTATTTCCTATTAGGAGCTTTTTGTAAATAGTACAATAATAAAAAAAATAAATTAGTAACTAGTGTGAAAATGTTTCATTTTCAGAAATAGTGGCTGACAGTCTGCATACTTTCATGAAATCTGGAAGTATGAATCTCCATCCTGTGTCAATGAGAATGAAGAGTTTGGTATTTTCCATAATTAAGTTTTTCTCTTTTAGAGAAAGTGAGATGTTTAAATTGAAACCATAATCTTTAAGAATCCCAAAGAGAGGTTCTCTCCACAGGAATTAAATATATTCACTTCACAGTGGGAGGGAATTTCCTCACAGACATGAACTTCTATGAATCCTTATCATGACTCTTCCAACATTTGGTTTAGGTTTCAGGTGGAGCCAGACTAAAAGGGTAATGTATACAAAGGCTTGGGAAAGACACAGCTTTTGCCAACTAAGAGCTCTGTTCCACCTTGTCTGCCTTCATTTCCATCCCTGCTACATCTCTTGCCATGAGCCATTTGGATAGAATTGGAGCAAGCAGTATCCTAGGAGCACGTGGAGAAAGTTTTATACTGCAGGCTGTTCAAAGAAGCCATACAAAGTATAATAAATGTAACTTATTTGCATCCATATGGAAGAAAAAAATTAAAACTTCTGTGTATTTACCACTTATTGTAATTCAATACTTCAAACAAGTCCTGTTGTACTTACCATGCCATATTCTTGCATATATATCCCAAAAGCCTGCTATAGTTTTTCTTACACCATTCCAAACATCACTCAAGGGATCTGCTTTTAACTCATTGTTCCTCTGATATATTAAAAGCAAAATATTAGTAAGGTAAATGAAAAAGACAATTGTTAAAGGAACTATAAAAAAAACTAATATTGCACTAATTGTCAGTGAGGCAATGATCAGATGAAAAATGTATTTCTTCAGGAGCTCCACAATAGTCCATTCTTCCAATGCATAGAAAAGACAGCTGAGGCTGGTCATTGGTAACTGTCCTGAAGCACAGGATTCTTTTCTACCTAGCATGTCCTGCATGGAGAAGAAAAAAAAAAAAAACAAAACAAACAAACAAAAAAAGAGCTGTAGTTTCTCAATTTGGAAAAAAAGGTTTCTGTAAATACACCTGATCCTTATTTTGGCACAACCCAGGTTTAAACATTTTGTGTCTCTCTGTCATGCTAGGATAGCTGTTGGCTAGGAGATTGTCCATGTATTTATGGAATAGGGGCTGAAACAAGAAGGACCGGAGTTCAACAAAGCCTCAGGATCCCTGCAACATGGCTGATCAGATAATTTCTCTCAAAAGAAAGTAAGTGAAGAGTATTTTTAGCAGGGGAGTGAGCAGCTGAAGGGACAGCAGCAAAACCAAGGCAGTCATGGCTTCTCCACAAGGCCTGGAAGCGTCTGGGACAACACTTGGTTCTGCTGTGAACACTGGGACAAGCAGCTTCTCACCCCTTATCCATACAACACTTTTCTTTCAGATCTTCCAGCCCTAGCAAAGGCCAGGCGAGCTCCATGGTATGTTTTCCACATGCAACTCCCTAGTTAGTCCATTCCTACAGCTGACCCTGCCTGCCTGGCAGCAGGTAGTGGTTACACTGGAATGTGAGAGCACTCCAGCATCACTGGCTGCTTTAAAGAGCCTTGAGCAATAGCCAGAGATTTAAACATTGCAATCCAGCTCAGTAATCCATAACTTAATACAGATTTTCCTTGCCTCAATCAGGTTGCAGCTTGTTTAACGAGTGGATTTTTCCGCCCCACTACCAGAACAAGTTCCTACAAGAAACAAATCCTAAGTGCCAAAGTCAGTGCCAGGATGAGAAAATACAGCAAGCTCAGACTTCTCTGACTTTACGTCTTCACAGCTGTACTTATATGAGCAAACCTGCTGTACACTTCTGTTTTCCTTCTTTGAAGCTTTGGGTAGAATATAGGGATGGACTGGAGTGAAGCACAGCTCCCTGCAGAATTACGGCTGACCAGGAGTACAGCAAACAGCAAAAGTGGAAAGCAGCCATGGACAAGCACTAGAGCCTAACATGCATCATGGCAAGACCTGCAGCATGAGTGGCTGCAGTAGGTATAAATTTGGTCTCCCACACCCCAATGAAATCTGTCCTTATCTCAAACCCTTTGAACTCCACATTGGCCACCAAAAATGACCACTTGGTTTAACCCCAGCAGGCAGCTGAGCACCACACAGCCACTCACTCCCTCCCCACTGCAGTGAGATAGGTGAGAGAATCAGATTAAAAGTGCAAAAACTCTTGGTTTGAGATAAAGGCAGTTTCATAGGTAGAGCACAAGCTGGAAGTTAAGAAAGAGGAAGCAAGCACTGTGTTAAAAGATGCTCAATGTGGTAAAAAAAACCAAATGAAATCAGTATGACAAAAAGTAACAAGAATTAATATAGAATTGTTTATATCCTGATGACTGGTGCCTCACTAAAATATAGGAAGATATGGATATTTTCACTGAAAAGAGATTTTATCAATAACATTAAAGAAAAAAAGGAATAGTCTGCATGATTCAGATATTAAAATATCTGTTTAGACTGTTTAAGAAGGATAAAACTGATGGTGTGGTGCAACTCTATAGCAAGTTATTGTTTATAAAGCTCTGATAAGAGCAAGGACTACAAATCCTCAATGTGTGCCAAGCTCTGTGCTGACAGAGCCCAGGAGAAGGCCATGTTAAGGGGGCTTGCCTCAGGTTACTGAATCAGAAATACTGAGCAGTACTGGGAATGATTTGTTCAGCCTGCAACATGGGGTGAAGGAAGTGAGTGGATTTTGTATTGTTATTGGGGGGTCACATCTGGAACACAGACTACTACAGCCAGCAGCAAAAGTGTCTTAAAATCACAGATAAAATATTCATATCCATATCAAGGACATCAATAATAACCTCTATATGATAGAGGGATTAATTTAGATATACAGATCACTGATGAACAAGAGATTGTATAATCTATCAACAAGATTTAAGATGATTCCAAAGCCCCCAAGCATAAGTAATTAATTGCAGACTCAAGAGCCAGATAAACTTCTGACAAGATAACTGAGAAGCTGGTAACTGGTGCCACTCATTCTAATTTGGTGGGAACAGACCTTGTAAACAAATTTACTTCCATTCTTTGAAGAAATTAGAGGTTTAATAGCTTGTACAGGTTTCATGCTTATATAATTTTAACAGGAGCTTCTTAAAGAGTCACTTTAAGCCACACATGAGCTGCTACTTGAAAGTCATCCTTCCACCACTGATTCACTCTCAGTTCTTATCCCCAGCCTGATCTCCCTCAGGATCTCCTGGCTCCCTGCTAGAGATTCCAGTGAAAATGCTGGCACAATCAAAATCACTCTTGGGAACAGCCCAAACTTAGGTTGGTAGACAGGTATTATGCCTGTATATTACCAATGCCACTTGACATTTTTATTAAAAAATAAATCTCTTTGAAATTGAACATATATGCAATGAATGATGTCATCAACTAGCATGACAATAAAGTATCCATCAGTAGTGGAATCTCTACCAAATAGGAACTGAATCTATGTTCTACATTATTCAGCATTTTCAGAATTTTCTTCTAATATTAATAGGATGTTTACATTGATCAGTTTTAGCAATGCAACATTCCACTGATTCCTCTTCCTCCAACTCAATTTTTATGTAGCAGAAAATTACTTGCTGGCTGGAAAACCACAACCCTTAACTTTGTTAGCTCCCAGATTACAATATAAATGAACATGTTACTAATTTTTGATTTTAAGTTCAATATAGCCACTAGAAAAATGCTTTAGAAAGACAGTAAAATGTGCCAATGTGCAAAATTATATTTTTTTAAAACCTACAAAACAGATTTAACAATACAAGTTTGACCAAAGAAATCTGAAAGTAGTTGTGTAGATACAGAGTTGACCTTCTGCCAATTAGCTGGATGGGTGGGATGCAAATTAATTCAACATCATTCCAGCTGAATCCAAGGATAGAAAAAGAATAAATGATTGACTGATTGATGAACAGCTAGAAGCAGCATGGCTTCTTCTGGAAATTGGGTACTCAACCATAGTTCAGTTACTGCTTTCACAGTTCAGTTGCAGACTACCTCAAATATTTAAAAAGAAAAGAATGAATTCCAATCACTGAAACCTGGACCCTGATATTTGGACTATATGATGCAAGTCCAACATTGCAAATGCATCCCTCTGCTGTCAGTATATCACAGGGCTACAACAGGACAGGACTTCTGTTTTCCCATGTTCCACTAGCTATGTCTCTCTAGTTCCCTGCTGAAACCCCAAATACAATTTTGAAGCATTCTTTCTACCAAATACCGTATATGAAATTATTACAACTATATTGCCTATTGCAAAGTAACCCTGTTACTAACAACCTCCTCTATTATGCACTAGGAGACAATGCAGGAGTGCTACCACAAAGTAAACACATTTACTTATAATGGCTTTGGTTTGCTCCAAATGTCAAATCTAAGGGAGAAATTTCTCTTCTGCTTTTAACAAACCTGAGCCAGGAGCAGCTCCAACGTACTTCAATACTGAATATCCTCTAAAAGGTTAACAAGTGGGTATAGTGTCATATTGTTTAGCAAAAAAGCCCAAACAAACACTTTTGAAATTGTCTACATCTTTCTTATCTTATCTAGTGATGGACTTGAAGCTACTGTTCTGAGTGATTTCATTGTTCTTATAGAGAACAACATATGTGTTGACATGTGAGGTATTTGTTTGGGCTCCACCTCTAAAGCATATCGAATTCCAGAGTAATCACTCTATCTACAGTGTAAAATTACAGGTGATGTCACAGAAAGACAGAACTACTCTCTCCCTACTTAGAGAGGAGCTCCCCTTTCAACAAAAGTCTCCTGTAATACAAGTTGTTCAGATCCTAAGGTCTTGCTTATCATTTGCTGATAAGGATAATCTTACCAACACTATAATCCCAGGAAGAACAAAGGTGTCACAAGAGACTTACTACATTAAAATTAAACCCTTGTAGCTGGCTTTCAGTCATGACTGAAGAGTCATAATCTTGGTCCTGCTGCTTGCTAGTTTGCTCTTGGCAATAAGTTTAGCAGAGCATCATGAGAAGACGCTTTACACAGAAGCAAGTGTAAGGTAACTGCAGACTCTTGGAGAGAGAATTTTTTTAACGCTTACTTGTCGCAGGCTCCTACTCTTTGCTCAAACTCAATTGTTCTGTTTCATAACGGGAGTCATCCAACAGCTACAATTCTGCCTCTTGCCTTTCAATGCAAATGAAATCCCAGTTTAATATTTCCTGGATGTTTTGTGGCAGTTCCATGGAAAATAACTCTCTTCCTGGTCTCACCCTGCCACCACCCACTTTATTTATTTCCATAAATCCACACCCTCCTGTGTTGGTAGAGCTTCCCCCACTTCAGCACATCCATCCCAAAAATGAACAGTCTATCCCGTCCAGACAGAAACTATTGGCCATTACAGAGCTCAGTCCCCCAGGTTTTTGCAGCCATTCTACCTTTTTCACACACTGAGGATACTAAACCCAGAACACTGTTTCCCATTTACAGCCTCAGCAAACATGAATAACTGAATTCTCACTTGGGTTTGATTGAGCAAGTGGGTATTAGGCACTATCCCTGGCTGACCATCTTTGCTCAGCTTGATTGCCAGAAATGTGGCAGGTAAGATCTAGAAGAATAATAAAATTTTAGAATGGTTTGGGTTGGAAGGGACCTTAAAGGGCATCTGGTTCCAACCCCCCCCCGCCATAGGCAGTGACATCTTCTACTAGACCAGGTTGCTCAAAGCCCAATCCAACCTGTCCTTCAACAGTGGGGCATCCACAACTGCTCTAAGCAACCTGGTCCAGTGTCTCATCACTCTTATAGTAGATTTCTTACTGATATTTAATCTAAACTGTCCTCTTTCAGTTCAAAGCCATTTCCTTCTTGTCCTGCTGGTTACATGCTTGTGTAAAAAGTCCCTTTCCCTCCCTCTTGTAGGTCCTTTTCACACACTAAAAAGCTGAAATGAGATCTCCCTGAGGCTTTTTCTTCATCAGGATGAACAATCCCAATTCTCTCAGCCTGTCTTCGCAAGAGACTGCTCTGATCATCTTTCTGATCCTTCCCTGTACCTGTTCCAACAGGCCCATGTCTGTACTAGGCTGAGAACCCCGGAGCTGGATCAGCACTCCAGGTGATGGCTCACGCCTGGAGCAGAGCAGAGGGGCAGGATCAGCTCCCTCACCCTGCCGTGCACGGCTTGGGATCCAGCCCGGGACATGGCTGGCTTTCCCGACCTGTGAGCACACATGGTCGGGTGTATGAAGAGGGTGTACAAGGAGCAGCATCTGCGTTCAGATCTGGTACTTGTCCTGCTCAGGCACCAGTAAAATACCGCAAGTGCCTAACACCTACACTTGTCCCTTTTCTTCACCTGGAAGTGTCATTGAACATTTCCAAACATCAACACCGCGAAGACTCGAGGGTTTCCTCAATGTCTGGCACTAAGGGCCCCTAAGAACAGATCGCTGCTGAAGCCCGGGAGTGCTGGACCGCGGCTGGGCCTCCCTCCGCCGCCCTCCGTCCCATCCCGTGCCGTCCCATCCCATCCCGTGCCGTCCCATCCCATCCTATCCCATCCCGTGCCGTGCCGTCCCATCCCGTGCCGTGCCGTGCCGTGCCGTGCCGTGCCGTGCCGAGCCCCCGCCCCGCTCACCTGCCCGCGGCGGCGGCGCCGTCCCGAGCCGCCGAGCAGCCCCGTCCCGGGATAAGCGCGCCGCCGCCCCCGCGGCCGGGACCGGGAGGCGGAGCTGCGCCTGGCGCACACTGCAGGTGCAGCCTCCGCGCCCAGGTATCTCCGTGGAATTCTTCACCGATAAAAAAAATCCCGGAACGGGCGTCGGGAGCCCCGCCTGGGCGCGCTGGGATGGAGGAGCCGCTTCCCATCGCCGGGGAGGGCGGGACGCGCAGAGCCCTCTGCGCCCTTCCCTGCTTGGAAGATACAAGGCTCCCCAGGACGTGCTTCCAGACAATTCGTGTCCCGTTGATCAAGGAAACTTTCCGGCAGTGACATTGACTGCTACGTTGAGAAAATGCACTGGTTTTACAAAGGAAATAACCTCTTTAAAAAGGTTAAGAGACTTGGGTGCCACACAGACTTGGGCTATAATTAAAGCAGAACACAGAACGTGCTAATATGGCTAAATTCAGGCAGAATTTATTACTGAAATGTACTAAATACCCTTATGTTGTACAGTCGTTCACCCTCATCCTTATTCATGGAGGTCTTAGACTGATACAACACGTAGTATCAGTTTTGAAGTTCAGGAAATGGTTAATCCAACCTGTTTAAGGCAAGTGATTGAATTTCATTGATTTGATTTGATGCAGAACAAGAAATTGGCTCCCATGAAGTAAAATGCATGACTGCAGTACATTGATCCCACACACCTACAGTGCTGTAGTTGTGGGCTAGGGGAAGGGGACACAAACCTGTAAAAAAAGCATCCACCACTGAAGCTTTTTGTTGGCTTCTGGCTTTTATGGCACAAGACAGATTTGTTCAGTAACAGGTTTTCTTGGGAGGGAATAAAAAACTTGATATTCCTTGCCTAGCATGAAGCAGCAAAGCATTGGAAAAGTGGTTTTGCTGGTAGAGACTGAAAGAATGCAGATAGAAGGTATACTTGAGAGGCAAAAGCACATTCAGATGACCAGTGCAGAGAGAAAAAAATGTTGTACATAATACTTACTGGGCAATGCCAAATGTAGCTGAAATTATTTTGTTTTGTTCGCATGTGTTTTGTTTCCTTTGTGTTTGCATGATGGTGTACTATCACCCAAAGAGTCTGGATGGAAATGCAAGAACTAAACTACTATTGAAGAACAGAACTAGAATGAAACAGCAACATGATAATATGGATATTGAAAAATACATTGGAATAAAAAGTACTGAACAGTATTGTGTGAAGAAAAAGAAATAATTGCTTTGCTATCTTTGCTTTTCCTTGTCTTTTTTTTTTTTTCTTGAGAGTCATCTCAATGAAAAAGTGGTATGAGGCTTTTTCAGAGTATTTTTAGGAATCTATTATGGGCTTCTATCAGCAGATTTGCATATGAAGGGAGATTTCTAATGATAGATAAAACTACTCTGAGGAATCCATGTCATTACATGAAATCAAAATTTAAGTATTTGGATCTCAGGGAGTGGGAAAATATAATAAAGAGATGCAAAATCAGCCTGGAATGTTTTTGTGAAATAATGGTCAAAAATTTTAGAAAGTTTCCAAAATTCCTACAGATACCTAGCGTACAATGTGTATTATCATGACTTTAAAGATTCTGCAAGAAATGGAGCAAAAGGAACTGATTGGTATAATAAACTGTGCCATGTGAATCAGATGCATATGTTAAACTTCAGCTAAAAATAAAAGTAGCAACCAAGGTGAGATAAATATAAAAAATTAATAGAGCTGAAAAAGTACTCTGCTCTAATTTTGAATTAAGGTAATGAGATGGAGAATTGGCAGATTGATCATAAAGATGAAGGAGGAGAAGTAATAAAAGGGGAATGAAAAATCAATGTTCAGACATGGTAAGAACAGAACCAGTTCATTTTCTCAACCTATGCAAGAACAGTGTCTATCAGATTTAATTCCAGGCCCAGTAGTAAGGAGTTTCTAGTAGCTTTGTGGAGTTTAGAATACCATGTGACCAAGAATACCATATTGAACACTTATATTTGAGAAATTAGGAATAATTAGGAGTCTCCTGTATTCTGCACTACCCACTGTGTTCCAGACCAAAAAGTGTTAAGAAAATAGGAGCTCAAGTTGTGGAGAAATGGTAAACTCATTTCCTTTTCTAATTGTTAATGTTGCCAGGCAGTCCTGCCAATGGCATGAAGCTATGGGAAGAGTAAATATAACCTTAGGGCTCATCTTACAACGTTCCGGGTAGGATTACTGAAGTGTTACAGCTAACATTGAAGACATGGCTGAAATCTCTGAAATATTTTGTATAATTCTATTTCCTCCACAGGTCAATTTAGATTGAAACAAGGACAGAAAATGGTCCAAAGAATGAGGCAGATGCATGTGGCTTTTTTAACCTACCAAAATGAAATTTAAAATGGGATATAGCTTTTGCTGTTAAATAATTTTGGGAGTAAGAAGGTAAAAAATTAACCGAGTTAAAGGTCAGTCAAAGCACAGAATAAGTGAGAGTTAATGACAGTATAACTTGGGCACATTTTATATTCCAGTAAATTTTCCAGCAAGAAAAACTGAATCTGTTTACAAGAGAAGTAATAGCATTTCTACTGCTATTTAAAAGTTGAAAATAAATAAATAAAAGTTGAAAATAAAAGTTGAAGAATAATAGGGGTTACAGAATTTGGCAGTCCCAGTCTGGTGTTGCTTGCATGACACTGTAGGTGAGATGTGCTGGGAAGCTGGCTCCCCTTCATCAAGGATGATTCCAGTAGAACATGGAATGATTAATCCTGTGGGTAGCTGATCACAAGTGGTGTTCCCTAGGGATCAGTACTGGGGCCTGTCCTTTTTAATATCTTCATGGATGACCTGGATGAGGGGATTGAGTGCACCTTCAGTCAGTTCACAGACAGCGCTAAGCTGGGCAGTAGTGTTGATCTGCTGCATAGTTGGAAGGCTCTGTAGAGAGATCTGGACTGGCTGGATGGATGAGCCTAGGTCAATTTTATGAGGTTTGACAAAGCCGAGTGCTGGGTCCTGCCTTTGGGTCACAGCAACCCCATTGGGGCTCTACAGGCTGGGGGCAGAGTGGCTGGAAATCTGCCCAGTGCAAAGGACCTGGGAGTGCTGGTCAGCAGCTGAACATGAGCCAGTGTGTGTGCCCAGGTGGCCAAGAAGGCCAATGACATCCTGGCCTGCACCAGCAATAGTGTGGCCAGCAGGAGCAGGGCAGGGATTGTCCCCTGTACCCAGCACTGGTGAGGCCACACCTCGACTCCTGTGATCCCTCTTCTCTAAGGGACAACAAGCAACAAGCAAGATGAGAGGGTGTAAAGTTGCACAAGGGGAGGTTTACGTTGGATATCAGGAAAAATTTCTTCACTGAAAAGGTTTTTCAGACATCAGAACAGGCTGCCCAGGGCAGTGGTGGAGTCACCATCCCTGGAGCAATCCCGGAGGTATTTTTTTACAAAACAAGTAAATGACTTTTTAAGTGTCCATAGGGACATGGTTCAGTGGTGAACTTGACAGTCTTTGGTTAATACTTGGACTAGATCATAAAGGTCTTTTCTGCCCTAGATTATTATGATTCTATGCTTAACATAAAATGACAACTTGTGCTTGGAGGCTATAAAGTTTCTTACTAAAATAAACTGATTACTTGGTTCTAAAAATTAGCCTCAGTCTTGCCTCCTGTCTCTTAATACTTGCTTGAGCATATATGCCAGAACCCAGACAGGATTAGCAATTGCTACTGACCCCATTCTGGAGCAATGCTGGTCTTTGTGGGTTCTTAGGGTTGGATCCTATTTCAAGCAGTAATGTTGAAGAGTGATGGGAAGAGATGACTGTCTTGGAGGTATCAATAAACTGAATTTGAATGCTTTGCGCTTTTTTTTTTTAACATTGACATTCTAAACATTTCAATCACTGATGGTAAAATGTGGGAATCAGGATAGTACCACAGATGTGGGATCATTTGCAGGCAGGCTTGAAAGTTTTAGAGCTGGCTGCCAAGACAAAGAGTCATTAGTTTTTATCTTCTTGGAGAGGTGTTTCACTGATGAGGAAGCAAATGAGTTTTTCCTTTAGATCCTGAAGGAAACATCCCCCAATAACATTCTTGGAAAGCTGTTATATAGATTGAATTTCCTGACTGTAGTTGGTGTAAGAAATTACATTGCTCATGGCAGAAGTATTCAGATATTAACTGCGAAAACTTGTTCTGGTTTTTCCGATGTAAAATCAGCAGAATTAAACCAAATTCTGCCAAGGCTCAACCTTATCCTGTGCTTGCAAATATCACTGCTGTCCTGGAGAAAAACACAAAGTCACTTGACATTAAAATTTAGTGGTCTAAAAACTAACTCAGTTCATTTACCTTGAAGCAGAAGATGATAATCTGGGGAAGAACACAGAGTATTTACTCCTAGCTCCAGGAAGAGCTCCTTCATTCAGTATCTGTGTAAGCCATCCCTCTTACAAATGCAACATCATGAAAGCCAAGGCTACTTTGCTGCACAAGTCTCCCCATTTCTTTTTCATATCCTCAAATTCCTTCTTCTCATCTACAGCTGTCAGTGTGGGCCAGCTGGTTCTAGATTCAGCGTCTAACTACTGTCAGGGACAGTGGTGTCAGCCTGAGGGCTGGAGACCTCCTAACCACTGCAGCTGGAGGTTGCAGCTTGCAGAAGGGTATCCTTCACTATCCCACAGGTTTGCATCCTGCCTTCTTGTCACCCGTGGTTTTCAGCACATCATTTGGTGATAGCAGAGATGTGACAAATCATCTGGAATTTTTAGGTCTCATCCAATTTATAAGAAAACAGTCTCTGGCAGGTATTTTTATCTCTCTTTTCTATATACCTTAATATTTTGAAAGTGTCTCTGCATTCTTTTCCAATATATGTGCACTCTATTAACCTTCATGTCATTTTCCTGCCTTCCCTTTCTTTCTTACCTAATTTCAGTCTGCATTATTCTTACTGCCTATTTCTTTCCCAGCACCAGTTCTTAGGCTGAGATCCTCTCTCCTTCTGCATCTCTCTTTCTATTC